TGAAGTTCCCTCTCGAAAGAATAACCTATTTCTCTTAGGGCCTTTACCAAGATGCACCGTTTAAAAATTGTGTTGGGGCAGACAGACTTTGTGCTATTATTTGTGTAGATAATGAAATCAAAGATATGGGCGGTACACATAGCACGCATATAAGAGATGACGAAAGCCTACAAAATTAAACTGATAAAGTTAAGTGGGGACACCACTTCATAGAACTAGAAGGGAGAATAATATTAAAATGGAATTTAGATATATTGTTTATGTGTGGCATAAATTCGTCTCAGAGCACGGACCAGTGATGACTCACCAACCACAGAGCAAGGATGCCAACCACGTAACCGCAGTCACCAAAGAGTCTGTGTGTAACTGTACCCTTTGGTGTGTTTCAGAACCCACTGGTAGCATGCCGCCTCGCCTCACACAGAGAAGTGTCACCCTGTTGTCTGCAGAACAGGGCGCTGACGTGCATCTGAGCTGCGCCGCTCAGGGAAATCCCCCGCCTTCGTTCACGTGAGTACAGATATCGCATGTTCATGCTCTACCACTATATCCATTCGTTATGTTATTCAGAACATCATGTTTCGTACAGGCAACATTGCAGGGACACGTGGTAGTGTAGTTGGTTGAGGCCCTATGCTACAAGCTGGAAGATCGCGAGTTCGATTCCCGATGAGGTAATTGCATTTTTCAAGAGGTCTAATTCTTCCAGCCGCATTTTAGCCATGGGGTGCACTCAGCCTCTAACAGAAATGAGTACCAGGAATCTTCCTAGGGGTAAAGGGCGGCCGGAGCGTAAAGCTGACAATCTCACCACCACCTATGAGCCGATTGACTGGAAAATGTGGGAACCTCGACTTCTCACAACCCTATGGGTCTCCACTGCCTGTTATAGGGACAGCTTTACTTCTTTTTACCATTGCAGGACAACACGTAGCCCTCTGTAAGCAAGTATGACTATCCCATCGGGATATCAATATCGCAGATGTGCTGAAAGTGGAGTCTAGAAACTTTCTAATGATAATGTACCTGTCTGCGTCACTACCTGATGGTAGTACAGTAGATTGAATACGACAGTTTTCTGTTATGTTGGACTGAGGTTCTCATAGAACCGACTGAAAGTGTGCTGTATTCTGGGATGTGACGCCGTATATTCCGGTAAAGGCTCTCCGATATTTACGAACAAAGTATGCCTGCATATTCAAAGCTGACGATATATACTAAGCAGACTACGTGAAATAAGGGAACAGAAATTTCTTGATTGCTTGATTAGTTAGTTAGTTTCTTAGTTATGGGGACGTGCCATAGCTCAGGCGGTTAATTGCTGGCTTCCAAAGGCGCCGGCCAGTGTTCGAGCCCAATTCAAGTCATGTGGGATTTGTGGTGGACGAAGTGCCACTANCGGCCGAAGCGTAAAGCTGACAATCTCACCACCACCTGTGAGCCGATTGACTGGAAAATGTGGGAACCTCGACTTCTGACAACCCTATGGGTCTCCACTGCCTGTTATAGGGACAGCTTGGCTTCTTTTTACCATTGCAGGACAACACGTAGCCCTCTGTAAGCAAGTATGACTATCCCATCGGGATATCAATATCGCAGATGTGCTGAAAGTGGAGTCTAGAAACTTTCTAATGATAATGTACCTGTCTGCGTCACTACCTGATGGTAGTACAGTAGATTGAATATGACAGTTTTCTGTTATGTTGGATTGAGGTTCTCCTAGAACTGACTGAAAGTGTGCCGTATTCTGGGATGTGACGCCGTATATTCCGGTAAAGGCTCTCCGAAATTTACGAACAAAGTATGCCTCCATATTCAGGGCTGACGATATATACTAAGCAGACTACGTGAAATAAGGGAACAGAAATTTCTTGATTGCTTAGTTAGTTAGTTAGTTTCTTAGTTATGGGGACGTGCCATAGCTCAGGCGGTTAATTGCTGGCTTCCAAAGGCGCCGGCAAGTGTTCGAGCCCAATTCAAGTCATGTGGGATTTGTGGTGGACGAAGTGCCACTAAGGAAGATTTTATCCGAGTACTTCGGTTTCCCCTGCCAATTCTCATTCCACCGACTGCTCCACACTCATCATCTATCATCCGGGGCTGGTACAATAGGCCAATTAGTGGCCGACGTACCAAATGGACTCAGTCTCACCCCAGCCCAAGAAACTAAAAAAATAGTTAGTTGGTTAGTTAGTTAAGCTGTTACATTATATGGAATCCGGTTCCGATAACTGTCCCGAAAAGAAAATCTAAAGAATTACTCTGTGAAATTTATAAATTGCTTAAGATATTTGTGGATATGCTCCGGTGGTTAACTTACTCAACTATTCTCAATGCCCGTCTGCAAATTCACGTGCCTACGACAGCTGGCCGAAACAAGAAGAGCACTATCCTCTGAGATATAACGCCGTGTAGTCGGTTGAAAGTGAACGTACTTTTCGGAGGAAAATATGGCCTCCATTTTTAGGGTTGAAGACTAAACAAAGCTACAAATCAGTGTGCATGCACGTGGCCATTGTCCATCGGCTTACAGCAGTAGTATCCGAGAGCTGGACGCCTTCAAATTAAAATCTTGTGTTTCGTTCATCCTTCACATTTCATCTTTAGAGGGAGACTCAAAGTGAAAAGCAGTAAAGCTGAAATGCCATGTTTTATTTGTATGTCACGTTACGGAAATGCATGATATTCACTTTCATCTCAAGTCGTGACTACCGAAATGCACATTCTTACCTACAAACGTCATGTTGATGAAGCGACCTACAATTGTCCGTTAAACAAGGACGATTTAAGTTTCAAAGTGACGAATCCCAACTCCAACCTATACACAATCCTACATACGAAGTTCCGCGTTAAATATATATTGCTCTGCGCACTGCCTACCTGCACGCCATATAGTGGCGCTTCCATCGGCGTTTCCGTGAACTCGTTGCGATGTAAACTGACGCGGAGAGGACATTACATTTTTTTAACAGAGAGAGGACTTTATTTGGGTTTTCTTAAAGAACGCTATTTGTAGCCCAGGTTATATAGAGTCAAGTGTCTATCTGTCTATCCATCTACCTATCCATGGCTCTACAGGACTTTGTTAGATCTTGGCGGCTTTTCCAGTTTATTAATCCTATACAGTGTCAGTAGTACGCCTTAGACGGGGATCAGCCCATCACATAGACGTTACCCAGACACAGAATAAACGCACAGAGGCATCCATGCCTTGAGTAGGATTCGAACCCAACATCCCAGAGTTCCAGCTAACCAAGACAATGGTGTGAAGTGGTCGTAAAAAAACGTTAAGCTATCCCTGTACCAGGTCATGAAGGCCCATAGGGTTGTGAGACGTTGAGGGTCCCACATTGTCCAGACAATTGGCTCAAAGATGGCGGTAAGGTTGTCTGCCTTACGCGCCGGCCGCGCTTTACTTCCCAGGAAAATGATTTAATTAATTCCTGGTACTCATTTCTGTTAGAGGCTGAATGAACCCCAGGGCCATAGTGAGGCTGGAAGGATTAGGTCAGTTGAAAAAAAAATCCAGTGACCTCATCGGTCGTGGCTTAATTTAAACTGTTTCGACATTCGTATAAGGAACTGATAAAATCCACGTAAATTATAATTTAAGATATGTCGTCTCCGCGTTGAAATTTATACTCGGTACGTCAAGGACACGTAGCAATAAATTTACCGCATAGCCAAACAAACTTCTCATGCGTTCGAAATTTGCGTGTTAGCAGAAGAACTAATTGTTTTCCATAAATATCTTGCCGGGCAATATAATTTTCTTTGTTGCCACTGAGATGTATGATTAAAGTTTCATGAACATCTATATTCTAACTTCAACAACTTTGCATTTTTCACGGAGGCTAAACATGGCTTTTTTTTTTCGTTCTTTCTTTCATACCCGTGGGATTTTTTCTCGGGTGATAAAGTTTGAAGGTATATTTCAGTAAGTTTATTTCTTTACTAATTTCGTAAGTTAAGAATCTCGTGTTTCTCATTACAAATTCGGAAGTCTGCACCCCAAAATACCCCAAACTTGTTCGTCATCCCAAAGGATTATGTAAACGCTTCGTAAACTGATGGAAAGTCATACCTGGGGCACTGTTCTTTGATGTTTAATGCATGGCGCTGATGTTATTTACAATAACTTAATTAACAACAGTGCAGTGCTACCCTCTGCCGGATAAATCGTCAAGTAGCTTCAAACTTGAGCTGGTGACAGAAAGCTCGTCATATATCTCAGTAATTCTGTTACTAATTAATTTAATTCTGTAATTATACATACACGTATTCATCGATCGATCGTTCATGAATGTTCTCCGCTTTACACATAATAGAATTCATGTCATATACGCAACATAATACATATTATTTAATATGCCTCACAGCTGACATCATGTCGGTATTTTGGGGTTATGTCAACGTGAACTTTGATACACTAATCATTTTAACACTTTTGTTTTGTTAAATTCTGATAGCAGATTTAGAAGTTGGTTAGTTTTATTATTTAGTAATATAGTGCAGTGTACTTGTTTGATTTACGCGTACCGCTGACCTAACCTTCTAACGCAGATCGAATTCAGTTATAAACCGAGACTTTTAAAAATGGTACAATGTTACTTCTCTGAAAACTCTTGTTCATATTTGACTAAAATGACTTTCTGAAACATTTGTGCATTTTGTACTTTACCAACACGCGATTTAATGCTAATTCATTTAACACCCCAAAGAGCGAATTTCTTCTAAATAATATATACAATTTCAGTTCGTACCTCACACGAAACTCATTACGTCTCCTCTACAAAGCCAAACCGGTTAATGCTGTTTAGGGAAGCAGTCGCTGTTTATTGTGAGAACCATACGGAACACACAAATACACTCTGTGGGCAGAAAACTCAGTCCGCACCTCACAGGAAACTCACTACGTTTTCGCTACAGAGCCCAACCGGTTAATGCTGTTTAAGGAAACAGTCGCTGTTTATTGTGAGAACCATGCGGAACACACAGATACACTCTGTGGGCAGAAAACTCAGTCCGTGCCTCAAAGGAAACCTATTACGTCTCCGCTACAAAGCCCAACAGGTTAATGCTGTTTAGGAAAACAGTCGCTGTTTATTGTGAGAACCATACAGAACACAAAAATACACTCTGTGCGCAGAACACTCGGTCCGTACCGCACAGAAAACACATTACGTCTCCGCTACAAAGCCCAACCGGTTAATGATGTTTAGGGAAACAGTCGCTGTTTATTGTGAGAACCATACGGAACGCACAAACTGCCTTATTCTTTTGTGTTTTATTTCGTAAGTTTTTTTATATATTTCTGCGTAATTCTACTAACTTCTTCATTGGCTCCTGATACGTTTATTTTCCACTTATATAACCAAGAGTTGAATTGAATTATTAATTTGAATTTGTTAGCTTTCAATATTGTTCTGTATTTGTAATAACTCTGTATTTGGCCGCTTGCATGCTAAATCAGCTTTTAAACAAAGAAATAAATTAACATTTTTAAGCCA